TCTCTGCCTGCCTCTCTGCCTACTTGTGATCTCTACTGTCAAATAAATAAATAAAATCTTAAAAATAAATAAATAAAATGGGCATATGAATGGGGTGCCTGGGTGGCTCAGTTAGTTAAGTATCTGACTTTTTTTTTTTTAAAGATTTTTATTTATTTATTTGACAGAGAGAGATCACAAGCAGACAAAGAGGCAGGCAGAGAGAGAGAGAGGGAAGCAGGCTCCCTGCTGAGCAGAGCCCGATGTGGGACTCGATCCCAGGACCCTGAGATCATGACCTGAGCCGAAGGCAGCGGCTTAACCCACTGAGCCACCCAGGTGCCCAAGTATCTGACTTTTGATTTCAGCTCGGGTCATGGTCTCAGAGCCATGAGATTGAGCCCTGCATCAGGTTCTGCCCTGGGCGTGAAGCCTGCTTAAGATTGTCTCTTTCTCTCTTCTTCTCCCTCTGCCCCTCCCTGCCTCGCTTGGGCTCTCTTGCTCTCTCTCAAAAAATAAAACAAAATGAGACTATGAACGCAACCCAGGACTCTCATAGGGTAGCAGGATGAGCTCTCATCAAAGTGCCAATAAAAGAACAGAGAAAAGCCCATCCTTGAGTTGCAAGGGGCAAGGCCCACCCAGGGGTAGTCAGAATGCAGTTTCATGTCCCATCCACTCAAGCATCGGTTGACCTGATGGCCATTAAGGTCTTCCTTTTTTTTCACTTCACTTCCTCTTTTTAATTATTTTAATGTAATATTTGATAGATGCAAAAGAGTCGATACCTAATATGTAAGTAAAAAAGCACAATAATGAACTCTCAGTAGTCCACCGTGAATGCAGTGTTGGCTAGAACACTGTCAACAGCCTAGCACCCGCCTTTGTGCTCCTCCCCGTCTCAGCTCAGATGAGCCCCTCCTCATCTCAAGGCGAGCTTGGCCTTGAATTTTGAGCTGTGTCATTGCCTTGTTTGTAACATACGGTTTTATCATATTTGCATGTATTCCTAAACGATGTATGGTATTGTTTTTGAGCTTTGCCAAAATAATATACTGTATGTGCTTGTCTGGGATGCTTTTTTTTTTTTCACTCCACAGGGTGTCTCTGGAAGGGAGAGAAGAATGTGGGTTGGGGTAGGCAAAACTGCAAAACTGGGCTGAATCTAGATCTCAAGTGCTCAAGCTGTGAGATTGCATGCAAATTTCTTAACTCTGTTGAGTCTCAGCTTCCTCATCTGTATAAATGGGGCTCTTGTTCCCCTTATAAGGTTATGAAGAGGATACAGTAAAAGCCTGCATATGAAGGGTTCCTCTTGCAGAACAGGTTTTTAAAAATTACTGTGAGCTTCTATTGTTTTCTTTTCCTCTTGTTTTTCTTCTAGCTCAGTGGTGGAGATCACTGATTCACAGGGGGAAAAATCCTTACAAAATTACTTCCCCCTAGATAATACAATCAACTGTTTTTTAGATTAAGAAGTGGGAACATGAATTTTATCCAGTAACTGAAGACATTACTAAAATATGTACTTGAGCTATATATTATGACTTGCAAATGGATGGAGAGGGAGAGAAAAAGAGAACTAGTAAGAGAAAGGGAAAAACAGGGAGAGAGAAGCTATGAGTGTGTTTCTGCTTTTTGAAATGTCAATTACCCATTGTTTACCGCTCTTCAATTGCTCCCATCCCTAAGCCCATCAAGGTTTGCTTAGAATGGGATCCTCTCAGCTGACCACTGAAGAAGACATTATTCTTTGGGGTCCAGCTTCCACGAACAGAACAATGACGGGATGACATCGAGCTGGGAACCAGAAGGAAAGAAAGTTCTACAAGCCAGTGTCAGATAAAATTCCTTGTGATATCTCAGTCCTCAGTTTAGCTCTTTTCATATATACCAATTTTGTCTGTAGAGCATTGGGCTTAACTTTTCTTTCACAGAGATTCTGTGGTTCACCTCTTATGATATGGTCTGCATTTGCTTCCCAAATAGGGTTTTCACCAAATAAATATGTGAGTGGAAAAAGCAAAAGTGATCTAAGATCTGGAGTCAGGAAGGCTGGTGAGATTGACATTAAAACAGAGAGCACTCAAATATTTATGTGTGCATTTGTGAAATATTAATGCAGCACCCAGCAAAAATACACAGGCAAATACTCTGGGGCAGGGCTCCCTCAGATCTCTTTGAAGACCTGCCTTTTCAACCTAGCATAGCTTTCGTCACTGGAATATTCCATTCGCCTCAGAGTACACTGTGGTTTCTTTCAGCCTTGAAGTGTCAGCTGGCCAACACAGCCTTCTTCAGAGCCAATCCTACATACCTGGTTCCCATTGCCAGCTGCTCCCTTGATCTTCCCACCTGGAGGGCACCCACCATCTGCCAGCGGAGACCCTGCAGGGACTGAGCCTCTGTATGGGAGCGGCATGGGCACATGGCTTCTTCTGGCTGCTAGACTTCAAAGGCATCCTCAAAGGCCCCCCTCTGTTCATTGCCTTTGCCCTGTGCTTCCCAAGGGATTTGGGAAACCTAGTAGGGGCCATCAAACACCAGAGAGCTGGGCTAAGGGGACTCGGGTAGCAGGGCTTGACTGAGAAGAAGCCTAGGAGGAACCATCTGTGGGCAGGTGGGAGTCCTGGATTGTGGACACCCTCAGGGCAGGCGACATGTCTGTCCTGTTCACTCTTCTAACCCCCGCATCTAGAACACTGCCAAGCACATACTAGTTCCCTGACTGACTTGCAACCCATGGAGATGGACTGATGTCTCCACTTAGCAGCAGTGTCCTTTATTCTGCAAAGATAGAAGCATGTGTGACAATGTTATCCATTTCCAGGAATGAAGTACAAAAAGCAGGGCGCAGTAAAGGACTGACGGGAACATGTTTAAAATGAGGCAAAGTGAAAGGTCCATCCTCTTAAGGGTGTACACAGTTCACTGGACTGAAGAAAGGAGCACTGTGCTAGGAGTCAGGAAGTCTTGGCTTTCATCAGACATTTTCACAAATGTGCTGTGTGACACAGAACCAGTCACTTCCTCTTTCCAGGCTTTGGTTTCCTCTTCAGTTAAATGTAGCAGCTAGGCCACACAAACCCCAAAAGTTTAACTCTATGCTCATGGTTGGAAACTCATGGCTAGGTTTGTCAACGTTGGTCACTGTTCTGCTTCCCAGCAAGAGGTCAGTCCCCTATCCTCTACCACACATTACTTCCTAGGAGCTCCCACCGAGCCCCTGGTCCGGAACATTCTCCACTGATAGATGTGCCCTGCCACAGCCCCTCACAGGCCCTGGGGCCCTGGACCTGGTTCCCAGCCTCAGCTGTCCTCTAGAAGCTGCAGTGAGGCACAGAACTGGTTCCGCCCGAGAATGGGGGAACCCAGGAACCACAGGCCAGCAGCAGAGCTTCTTCAACACACTGACAGCTCCGTTCCCTTTCTTCCTGGAAGGTTCTCTGAAACTGGGCTGCCTTTCCATTCCCCTGGAGCCATTTTGCTCTGGATCCATGCACTGACTGAAGGCAGTGTGGCCCACTCCCTCGCAGGATGTGCTTCAAACTTGCTGCTGACTCAGCCTTTCTCCCGGACCCTTTCTTTTTGGCCCTTTTTCCTTTCGCCCTCTCTTCTTCCTGGCTCACTTTCCCCCTCACTCACCTCCCCAAACTTCCCCTTTCTTCCCACATACTTTCTCAGTCTCAATGCTTCACCCTGATCTCTGGCTTCTAAGGCCCTTCTCTCGGGCTTCTGGTCAGTGTCACCATTCTTTTTGCCTGGAAAGCAGGGCCCGGATTTCTACGTCATTAAGGTTCCCTTACTTCCAGGATCCAGGTAACCCATATCTTTTTCCTCTCCTTTCTCCCTGTGGGTACTTCTTTGCCCTTCTCCATCCACATCTTTCAAAAAAAGTTCCCTGCCCTGGGCACCTGGGTGGCTCAGTTGGTTAAGCATCTGCCTTCAGCTCAGGTCATGATCTCAGGGTCCTGGAATCCAGCCCCATGTTGAGCTTCCTGCTCAATGGGGAGTCTGCTTCTCCCTCTCTCCCTGTTCCCCACCTCCCAACTTGTGTTCTCTCTCTTATCTCAAATAAATAAATTATATCTTTAAAAAAAATGCCCCTTCCCCATCTTGGCCATAGTTGGCAGGTGTACTTATTTTCTAGGGCTGCCCTAACAAAGTAGTACAGATGGGTGGTTCAAACAACAGGAATTTATTTTCTCACAGCTCTTGAGGCCATTAGTCCGAGGTGTTGGCAAGGTTGGTTTCTTCTGAGGCCTCTCTACTTACCTTGTAGATGGCTGTCCTCTCTCTGTGTCTTCACACGGTCCTTCTTTGATGTCCTATCTCCTTGTCTTATAAGGACACCAGCACATTGGATTGGGGCCCACCCCAATGACTTCATTTTAACTTAATTATCCTTTAAAGACCCTATCTCCATATATAGTCATATTCTGTGGTACCGGGGATTGGGAGACACAACTGAGCCCCTACCCACAGGGGTGATGGTAGTAGTGGTGGCCTTATATGCTGTGTCTGTGCTGATTGGGGGGAGGAGGTGGAAAATCTTTAGGGAAGGGTGTAGAAGGCAGGTGCCCTATGATCCAGAGGGAATGGTTCACTGTGGCCTTCTGAGGCACCGTCCCCTCAGCACCCCAATGCTGGGTGCTCCCCTAGAGTCAGGCACCTGAGCTAAAGGAAACCAGATGGGGATAGCCCTAAAAGAAGCCAAGCATCAGGCAAATCAGAAGTTTAATAAAAGTGAAAAAAATTATAATACAGTGGGCTGCTTTAGAAGGTCTAATATGTTGGTCAGCCCAACATACGGACTCCATGTGGGTTCTGGGAGGTCACAGGATTGGTCCCTCACACCCTAAGATTCACTCTTCTCACTTGTCTTGTTCCCATGGGGGAGGCCTCTGTCTTTCTGGTGTAATTTTTGACCAGGCTAGTTCTGAACTCCCTCATCCTGTGAGGAAACCTGCTGGAGTCTGACCTTTCCCCCATGGTGATGATGTTCATTGACATTGTTTTCTCAAGTCCACACCTCATCCCAGGTTCTGAGGTTGGAAGACAGGTGAAAGCCCGTTTTATGGAGAATAAGAGCTTGGGGACGTTGGGGCCTCCTCCTTAGGAGATGGCCACTGCTCCCAGGGGCTCCTTGCTCCTCCCTAAAGTCTTCAGAATCCTGCAGGCCCATCTGTCTTGCAAAGCGTTCAGGGATGCAGAATGCCTGGGCACTGGTAACGAGTGGGGACCCAGAGTCTGCGCAGAGAGAGCTGGGCCAGCTAGGAGGTACTGCTCCTCCTCCGGGGGTGGAGAGCTTTCCTCTTGGCGATGTCCTCCTCTGCGTCACTCTCACAATTCCTCTGGAAAAAAAAAAAAAAAAAGAGGCCCAGGGTAAGGGGGTCATGAGAGTCCAGGGACAGGGTTGTGCTGGGCAGCCCGGCTGACACACCTGGGCCAGGGGCCTATAAGCCAGGGAGGTGGATATTGAGGCAAAGGCTGTTGCTCTGTCTGGAGTCTTGAGGGGGACTGAGTGGGGGTGGGGAGGGACTTGAAATGGGGCCAGACCAATTGCCTGGAGGCCTCCTTCTCAGGAGGCAGGAAAGCAGGCAGCATATCTAAGAGAAACCAGGTACCAGGATAACCCAAATCATAATAATAATCAAGATAATATCTGGTGTTTGTTGTAGCTGCCACGTAACAGTTGACAGGTCTCCCAAACTCAGCCTGGAGAGAATGGGGGGACAGGGGTGAGCCACAGGGACCTCCCCAAGCTCTGATGGCCGCTGCCCCACACCCACTCTGCTCTGACTGGCTCAGGCTGCTCTTCTTCTGGCTTTTATGTTCCATCTTTATGAAAGGGGAGAAAGAGTAAAGTGTATTCCATGGCTGAACCAGAGTCAAGGCAGCCATCCTGGAGATCACAGTGCCTTTTTTATTCAGGTCATATCAGTCTAATCAAAAATTTTTGAAGATTTTATTTATTTATTGGTCGGAGAGAGAGCACACAAGCAGGGGGAGTGGCAGGTAGAGGGAGAAGCAGGCTCCCTGCTGAGCAAGGAGCCTGATGCAGGACCTAAGCCACACAGGAGACCCCAGTCTAAACAAATTACTAAAATTTATTAAGAGAGGTACTAATCCAGAAAGACTTCAGTGTCTCATAAATACTCGGTTGTTAGATGTTCAATTTTAAGGGTGCCTGAACAAAAGAACTTATCATCATCATCATCGTTATTTAAAGGAAATTTCCTCTGAGAAAACTGTATAATAGATGTCTAGGACCCAAGCCTTCCTTTTCCACTTGTAGAATGAGGCACTGAGCTGATGGCACTGAATGTTTAAGTAAAAAGAAGGCTATATTTAAAAATGTGTGCACAAGGACAAAAACTAAGAAAGAAATTTACAGGGATGTCTGTAATCCCCCACCCAGGGATGACTGGGTGGCTCAGTCATTAAGCGTCTGCCTTTGGCTAGGTTATGATCCCGAGGTCCTGGGATCGAGCCCTACATCCGGCTCCCTGCTCCACGGGAAGCCTGCTTCTCCCACTCCCTCCGCTGTGTTCCCTCTCTCGCTGTATCTCTCTCTGTCAAATAAATAAATAAAATCTTAAAAAAAAATTAAGAAAGAAATTTATGTTCTTTCAACTAGTCTCTGGTCCTGTCTTCCCATGGCCTCCATCATATCAGAGCAACTCACTTGCCATGTGCCTTCCCGGAGCTTTCTCTCTCTCTCTCCTTCCCCTGGCCTAAGCCAGTTGGAAATCCAAGGTCAAGATTAACTTTAGCCAAGTACATCCTGGACCAAGCCTGGCTATAACAATAAAAATAACTCAAGCTCTGCTGAATAGCAATTTTTTAGCATGAGTCAGAGCCAAACAATGAAAAAGTAAGCTGGGGGAAAGTCTGCCTGTCATTAACAGGGATTTTCAGAGGGAAAGTCCAGTCCCCTTGAACAGCAGGTGAGGAGAGCCATCAGAGAAGGGACATGGCTTTGCCAAAGCCACACAGTTGCTCGGGGCCTCTAGTGCCACAAATCCTCAAATCAAGGGTAAGAACCAACAAGAGCTTCGGCTAACGAAAGTGGACCCCAGGACCTGGTGCAGAAGGAGGTCCCGGCATGCAACCCAAGCACTGCATGTCCTGGGACTGTTCAGGGCTGACGGCCCCATCTGTCTTAGGCAGCTGCCCTTCCTGTGCCATCCCAGACACTTCTGGGGCCTCCCCACTTTGATGGAGCAACAGGGAACGTCCGTCCTGGGGACCTCTACGGCCGAAACACTAACTGCATTCAAAAGCACTTGGCACTGCATTTTAGACTACGGGGAGATTTTACACAATCACAACTATGAATACACACTGAGCACTTCTAATGCCAGGCTCTAAGGATAGGTCCTCATTTAGTCCTCGTGACTACTCTACGAGGTAGGAACTGTTGTTAACCCCATTTTACACAGGATAGCATTTTGGCACAGAAAGGTTAAGTCATTTCCTCAAGGTCACACAGCTAGTAAGTGGCCAATATGAATTCTGAAAGTCTAGTTCGAGAGGCCACGCTCCTGATCAGAGTAAGTTCATTTTAAATGTACATGAATAGTTACAAGCTAGTCAAATATCATCTAAATATTATTATTGTTGTTGTTGTTTTTTGTTATTGATGGCAATCTAAAGCAAAACAGAAATGGACAAATTGAAAGACAAATATTAAGCTTCCATTCTACAACAGATCTTTGGATTGTCAGGAATATATTTTGGGTTGACTCTGGTGGTTGCGTTATTCAAAACCCTCAAGGTCTCCAGCAGGCCACAAGTCCTCAGGGAAAGACTGGGGCAGTAAAGTCCCTTTGATGGTCCACTAGGCAAAGATTCAAGATCCTCCAGAAGCCCATGCTGCCCCCTTGGAGTGCTCCCCTCCCAGGACTGCCCCAGGGGTCCCCCTGAACACGCGGCCTCCACCAATCACACAGTGCTGAGGAGGACAGGACAAGCAGAACCGGTGGGAAATAGTTAGCACCCACATGATCCCTTCCACCCCCGAGCTCCAGGCCACCCCAGAATCCTGCCCATCAAGAGAACACTGCATTTCCCTACCAGGTCCTCATCTGGCCGCAGGTTCACCTTCTTCATCAGGGAGCGGGTGAGGTGGTTGCACAAGGAGACGATGCTGAAGGAGAGCTGAGGGAGAGAGGAGGAGAGAGGGACTGCCAGTTGAGACTGTGCACAGAGACCCGCTGGGGTCCCCTGCTCCCCACCCCTTAACCCTGACACACCTTCCATCGCCTGCGGACATACTGCTTCTTGAAGTTCTCCAGGTTGACCACAGACTCCCTGCGGACCAGGGCTTGCTGGTTGTCCACCGGCTGGGAGACAAAGCAGAGTTTGGTGGCTGATGTTGGGCTTGGGTCGGCAGCCACCCCGCTCTCCAAACCCCCAGCCACATAGCATCCTTAGCCTGACTCTGCCACTTCCCCCAGGGCAGGGCATGCAGGGGGACATCGCATTGAGGCCAAAGGTTGCAGATGTCTCAGCTGTTCCGGAGATGCCCCTGGGGCCCCTGAGCTATATCATAACACAGCCAACACACACTCTGGCTGGGCAGGAGCCGGGTCCCCCCAGAGTGGAAGAACGGGAGGCAGGGCCTTCAGGCATTGTTCACTTTGGGGAAGGGTCATCGGACAGCAGTCTAGGATGCCCACTGTGCGCTGGGCTGCCACTGGGCTTAGCAAAATAGAGGGCAAATAGAACACCAGGACTCCATTCACAAGTAAACTGAAGGAAACAGGGGCTTCGGTGGCAGGGGAGAGGAAATGGGATGTAGAGTTGCCTTTCACAGCCTGGCCGGTAAAGCTCAGCTTAAATCCTGACTTCTCCAACAAGCCTGGCCTGGCTTTGCTAAGCCTCAGTTTTCTCATCTGTATTATGGGGATAATAGCTTTATTAAGGTAGAGATGACATATAAAAAAAACAGGACATGTTTAATGTACACAATTTGATGAGTCCATTCCCCCTTGAATTCCTCCCTTCCTGTAAAACAAGGTTTTCCTAGATCAAAAGACAGCTTTCAGAGGTTCTATGAACCTCCCAAAATGGTTTGCAAATTTTAGTGTGTAAACTTGTACATGAATCTTCAGAGCAGCATTATTCATAATAGCCAAAAAGTAGACACAACTGAAATGTGCACCACCCGATGAGTGAACAAAATTCCATACAATGGAATATAATGCAGAAATATTATTCATAATATAGTTGACCTTCAACAATTCAGGGGTTAGGGTACTGAACCTTGAGACAGTTAAAAACCCACATATAACTTTTGACTCCCCAAAAACTTATCCACTAATAGCCTCTTGTTGACCAGAAACCTCCCTGATAACATAAACAGTCGACTGACATGTTTTGTATATGTTTTATGTACTGTATTCTTTAAATAAAGCAAGCTTGAGAAAATTATAAGGATGAGAAAATACATTTACAGTGCTGTACTGTGTTTAGAAAAAAAATGTGGACCCCCACAGTTCAAATCTGGGTCCACTGTTCTGACAGATGCTACAATGTGGATGAACCTTGAAAATATTATGTTGAGTGAAGGAAGCCAGACACAAAAGGCCACATATTGTATGATTCTATTTTCATAAAATGCCCAGAATAGGCAAATTGATAGAGACAGAAATGAGATTGGTAGTGGCCAGGGCTGGAGAGAGGGGTTGCTGGGAGAGGATTCTGAGGGGGTATGAGGTTTCTTTTTGTTGTGACAAAATGTCCTGGAGTTGGATGGTGGTGATTGTTCCACAACCTTGTGAAGATACTAAAGACTACTGAATTGTATTCTTTTAAACGGGGAGTTTTAGGGTATGTGAATTGTATCTCAATAAAAAATTTAAGGGGCACCTGGGTGGCTCAGTGGATTAAAGCCTCTGCATTCGGCTCAGGTCATGATCCCAGGGTCCTGGGATCAAGCCCCACATCAGGCTCTCCGCTCAGCGGGGAGCCTGCTTCCTCCTTTCTCTGCCTGCCTCTCTGCCTGCTTGTGATCTCCGTCTGTCAAATAAATAAAACCTTTAAAAAAAAAAAAATTTAAGTTAATGGGTGTGTACAGGAAGGCAGTTCTTCTGAGGAGAGCGGATAGATTTCATCCATTCTCGGAGAACTCTGTGACCCCAAGAAAATGAACTGCCGGAGGTGATCCATAGGGGCCCATCCAGCTTGATTTTTCTCTCTGCTCTGACAGCCTCCTCACAGCAATGCCTCATGTGGCTTTCCAGTGAATGCTGAGTGACGTAGCTCATGGGTTCCTGAGTGCTGGTCTTGTCTCTCATCCATATTGGAGCATTCCTCCATTCTCGATTTCTCATCATGGCGCTCAGAACTGGGGAAGCCGGCACATAGGGCTGGCCCACACAGCAGGGGACCTAAAATGCAGCAGGAGGCGCACTTTCCATGTCCACCCAATCCCTGCTCTTGGAAGGCCCCCATGTGTTTCAAAGCCCAGTTCAAACACATCCATTCCCCAAGACAGCTTCCGAAAAGCAATGCCTCCCTCCCCGCCATAACCGAAACACAGGTGGGCTCCCTCAGTATTTCTCCCCAACCTTGGCCAGCTCTGCAGTGGGGCCGTCTCCCTAGCAAAAAACAACTGGAGGGCACAGAAAGAATTTTCTTCATGGTTTTGTCAGTGTCCTCTACCCCACCTCCTCCCCATCCTGAGCATATACCGGTAGGTGCTTAACAGCTGTATCCTTAGTTTCCCCGAGTTGCTGAAGAGACACCTGACACCTGCTCACTCCTGCCAGTGACAGGCGCAGGCACCTGGATCAGAAGCCATGACACCATGGCTCCCCAGGGCTCTGCCTGGGAGTCAGCACAGATCTGTGGGGGTCAGGGAGCAGGGAGGAAAGTGTGCATACCCTTGACATTGGAGGGGGGATGAGAAAGCCAGGGGCTGTTCACTCTCCCGAATTAAAACACTCTTTGGGCCAAAGAGTGAGGAGGAATGAGGGGAGGGGAAGGAGAAAGATGGAGAGGGAAGAGATGAGAAGAGGATGAGGCCACTGAAGGGACCATGCGGCTAATCTCTCCTAGCTCTTTCCTTAATCGACTCTCACCTCCTGTGCTGCACCTGCAAGCCCAGTCCTGGGTCTAGGTCTCACCGGAGGGCAGAGCCTGACTTTTCCCGGTATCAAAGCCTTCCAGCAGCTTCTTCCCTGCACTCTTGATGGAAACCAACAAGCTCACCAAGATCCCCAAGGACTGTACCATCTGGGTCCTTCTCCAACCTGATTTCCTCCCTTTCTCCTTTCTCTTGCTGTGGCTCCTCCAGTCTGCTTCGTGGCTCAGGAACCCAAAATCTCAGGGTCTTTGTCCTTGCTCCTTAATACATTCACTTTGTCACTTTGTTCAGTCTTTGCTCAAACGTCACTTCCTCAGGAAGCCTTCCTTGACTACTCTGTATCAAACAGCATCCCAACTGCCCCATACAATGCACTGTGCCCACACCCTACTTCTTCATAACAGGTCCCACTACCTGACATTTTATTCTGTACTTATTTGTTTTTTGTTACTCTCTCTCTCTCCTGCACCTCCCAGCAACTAGTATCTGCTTTCCAGGGTGATTTCCTGCCTCCCCAACCCACAGAACATTTCCACCTCTAACTTCACCAATGTCTGCATTCACTTTTGAGCCTCAGGCCTGCCGGGAACCCTTGTACTTTACTTGGAGAGTTTGATAAGGGATCAGCAGACTCTGGGAGGGAAGGGACCTCTTCTTATCCACTTCCTGATCAGCACTCTTGTCAGAAGAGAAATGCCCAAACCCCATGGCTAGAAGATCAACATATAGTTGGGGGAATCCCTTTAATAGGCATCCTATCTTCCAACTGGTCCAGCAGTGCCAGCCATGGAGCAGAGGGGCCCAACTAAAATATGGGGTGGGGTGACCACTCCCAGGGGCCATTAATGGGAGGTGATGCAATTGCTTCTAGGGCCCAGTCTATGTGCTACACAAACAACATGAACTCTGAGAAGGGGGCCAGCCAGGCATAAATCTGTCAGGCTGGCCTTTCCTGATCAAAGGGTCTCCTTGGTTGCTAAGAGGCTTATCACATGCTGACACCACCATCGAATCTTTGAAAGTCAGAGGCATAAATTCTGCAGTGAAATCTGTTCCCGGAAGGAATGTGGCACCAACACTTCTGATTCAGTGAGGGGTGTTGGGGGGATGGGGCTGTGTTCTGCCTTCTCCTGGCCCTTCCCTCCCTGCGAACACACACTACCCACCTTCCACCCTGAGGTCCTTTGGCTAGAGCATGGGCAATTCTGACCAGACTCCTAGGAGTATGTTTAGTGTCTCGGAAAAATGTCGGGAAAGGAAGCAAGAGGAGAGAACACTGTGGCTGAAGTCAGGTTTTGTTTATGGAGACGCAAATGGCCTTAGAAAAGTCCAGCAGGGTCAGCACCAATGCCCACAGAGCAGAGAGATGGTGTAGCAACTATCCCCCAGGCACAAAAAAGGAACTCTCTTTATAAGAAGAGACACTCCAGACTTTCTCTCAGTATCAGGCCTCCTCTAGAAACCGCAGACAGATTGCAACTTCTCAAACCTCCATCTGTGCCGTTTCTCCAGCTCCATCCCCCACAGAAAGTCAAGGACACCTGAGCACCCACTTTCCTCTCCAGCCTAGGTCTGTCTGTCTCCAACCCCACCAATCTCCCCGAATCCAGTCTCTCTATAGGTGGCACCTCCAACTCTCCCTTTTGGGGGCTAGAGCCTGGGCCCTGCTGGTTCTCACCTCCCAGTCTTCCCAGGAAAAGAGAACGTGAGGCTTCTGAGAGCCTGAGTGTCTGCCTCCTTATGCATGGATGGGGAGAGCTGTGGAGAGACTGTGTCTCCAAAGATCGTCCTGTACTGAAGAAGCCAATGGAAAGCAGTGGGAATGCCCCCTTTCCTTGCCTGACCTGGTCTCACTTCTCTGAGTTAGGTCTCTGTACTTTTAATCCTCTTTCCAGGACCTTCAGTTTTCTGAGCAATTTTTGGTCCCCAGGAAACGCTTCCAAAGCTCTCCCTCCTGTACTCTTAGAGAAGACAGGAGACCTGAGAGATGTCACAGCCAAATGATACACACGGACTGTGTTTAGATCCCAATTTGAACAAACCATGCACCACAACAGGACAGCCTGGAGAAAAGTGGGGACATGGGGCATAAAATATCTATTCACACGATATCAAGGAATGATTCTTGCTTTTGTCAGGTGTGATAATGGTACAAGAGTAGCATTAAAAAGAAAGTGCTTAGAAATTCACGCTGAAGATGAGTGAAATAAATAAGTCTAAAGTTTGCTTTCAGATAGTGCAGAAACAGCAGAG